TATATATATATATATATATATATATATATATATATATATATATATATATATATATATATATATATATATATATATATATATATATATATATACTAGGTTGGTTGAAAAGTTCGCGGAGCGGCACCTATGTTGCAGTAGTAGAAACAAATTTATAACTGTATTAAACGTATTCATTCTTTGTATGAACGCATAAAAAATTTCAAGTCGGTATGTCATTTCAGTCTTTGTTTACAAGCTATTGAAATTAGACGTGTCATAGTATTTTTTAAAATGGAAAATATTGAACATTGTGCTGTAATAAAATTCTTTGTGAAAAAAGGTTTAAAGCCCATGGAAATTCATAATGAAATGGTAAATGTGTTGGGTGATGATGCTCCTTCAAAAACAACAGTATGCAAATGGGCTGCGGAGTTTCAACGTGGGCGTTCAAGCCTTGAAGATGACAACGCACCTGCTCATATCAGCGATGTTGCAAAGGCGAAATTGGTCGAATTAAAGTACGAACGCTTGGAACATCCACCCTATTCACCAGATCTGGCTCCGTCCGACTTCCACCTCTTTCCACATCTCAAAAAATTTTTACGTGGAAAGCGTTTCTCATCACATGAAGAAGTCATTGCAGCCGTAAATGGGTATTTTGAAGGCCTTCCGGAATCGCACTTCAGAGATGGGATACATGAATTGGAGAATCGTTGGAAAAAGTGTATTGCTCTTAAGGGAGAATATACTGAAGAATAAAGTCATTTTTTGAATCATAAAATTGTTTTTTCATTTCCGCTCCGCGAACTTTTCAACCAACCTAGTATATATATATATATATATATATATATATATATATATATATATATATATATATATATATATATATATATATATATATATATATATATATATATATATATATATATATATATATATATATATATATATATATATATATATATATATATATATATATATATATATATATATATATATATATATATATATGTATATATATTTAAGTGTTTAAATTTATTTTTATACTTTTTGTTTTCAGTGTATTTAGATTATGTTAACCAAAGAGAAGAACTTTACCTGACCCAAGGTTTTACTTTTGGAACACTTAATGTGTTGAAAAAAGAGTACACTATTTCATTTAATTTGAAACCAATGAGTTATTCAAAGGGTATGAAAAATGTTCTTCAGCTAGTCTCGAATAATAACAGTCGAGAATATAATGAGAAAGTCCTAGGTGTTTGGTTTCAAGAAGATGGTTCCGGAAGACTTGTCATTTATGCAGCAGTTAATGGTAATACTAGATACTCTGTTAAAACATTTCCTCTAACCTTGAGTCAATGGTCAAACATAAAAATATACCAGTGGCTGTTTGGCATTAAGTATTGGTTTGCCATTGATATAAATGGGATTAATATCCATCGAGAAGAAAATTTTTTAGCTTCACATTTTAATGAGATACAAATTTATACTTCAAATCTGTGGGATGATGCACAAAACGGATCAATATCTGACTTTTTGATTATTAATGGCAAAGCAAGTATGAATACATTTGTTTGTATGTATATATCTGTTTACATGTATATGTTTGTGTGTGTGTGGGCGCGCGTGTGTACGTGTGTGTAAGAACTCTATAGCTCTTCCTAGCATCATAAGCAAGAAGTTCGAGTTCAAACCCCAAAAAGTTCTTGAGAGTAATGCTATTAAGTTTTTCCGAACTGCAGTGTATTTTGGAGATAATGATTAAGAGAATACTGTAGCAAGATATATAGCAAAAAATTTGAATGGGAAGATTATGCCACTTTAGTCTCCTCGTCATATATAATAGCTGATAAAATTGCATATAATAGCAGATAAAAAGTTATATACACAGTACGCGCCAAACAAAGAGCACACGCTATAAATATAATATATTTTATTCATTTTATTCTGTTTTCAATATTAAAAAATCAAAAAAAAGTCTTAATCAGATAAGTAATAAAAAACATCGTTTTTGGCGCCGAATATTTTACCGCGTCAAGGTATGGGGGAAAATATGATATTTTCTGATATTTGATTGATGATATTTGAAAAACAAATTGCACACGTCAGTCATTTAGTATTTGATTGCAATAGACGAGTTGCTAATGCTAGGTAAGTGACATATATACTAACGTAGACTAAATGGCCATCATATGTGAACTAATCGTATGTGTTACAGAGAACTACATGGGACGTGGAACTAAGATAAATGCTAAAGAAGTTGCTATGATCAAGGCATTTAAGGCTGCCGATATATCAACATCTGAGATATCGAAACATATACAGCGAAGTTGGAAGGATATTGAGAAGATTTTGAAGGATTCTGATACATATTTGAAAACAAAATCCAAACAAAATGCCTCAAAAATAACTAAGCGTGACAAACGTATCATATTACAAAGGGCTTCAAACACCAGCTGTATATTGAACAAGTGGCTTCAAACACCAGCTGAGCGTTTATCAATTGCCCGATCGATAAATGCCCAGCTGGATATTAATTTGTCATTACGTACGATAGAAAGAACGTTACATGAAGCCGAACATCTGAGGTATTAGAAGCATATGTCAACGCCGGCGATGCAGAAACATATCATAGAAAAACGTATGGTGTATGCGAACAAACATTTATTTTATCAACATGATTAGGGCTCAATTAGTCGGTCTAATGAGAAGAAATTTAATTTTGATGATCCAGGTGTATATTAATATTATTGACATGACTTATAAAAAGAGCCCTTGACTTTTTTGTACGGACAAAATGGTAGTGGTGGCGCCATGATTTGGGGTTCATTTTCCTAAGCTGAATCATCTGAATTGAAGTTCTTGGAAAGGAAAAAAACAGCTGAAGAATATATTATTACAATCTCTAATTACTTAATGTTATATGGGCATATCTTGTATAAACATCTTGTATAAACACAAACATACGTTTGTCCTTTTGCAACATAACGCATCGATACATATGGCAAAGACTGTGATGGAGTTTGTAATGGAATATGACATCCAGTTGTTTGATCATCCAACGCTGTCACCCGACTTGAATCCAATTAAAAAATTTGGGGTTACTTGTCTCATCGCGTGTTTGAAAATGGAAAATCATACATTAACCTCACGGAACTGAAAATGACCATCTAGATGGAATGGAACAAACCCCCCCCCCCCTAATATTTGCTTTAAAGCGCTTATTTTATTAAAATTAAAACGCTCATTTCCTCCATGCCTAAGCGTTGCATTCAGGTTATTATGAAGAAAGGTAAGAATATTGGCTATTAAGTACGTTTCTACGTCTTAGTAATCTATAAATTCTGCTGAAATGGTGTGTGTGCCATTGGTTTGGCAAATAATGTATTTTTAATTTTATTCTTTTTTTATTTTTTACATGTTTTAAACAAAAATAAAGACAATATTGTCCTTTATTTGTATTTTATTTCTTGAGTTATATTATGTTAAACATGTATTAATTATTGTGTTAAATTTTATACGTTCATACACCTATTTTTATTATTAAACTATTACATGTGCTATTTGAGCGTTTGGCGCGGACTGTAGTAGCAGATAAAAAAATTACAAAATTATTTTAAACTTTTTTTAGCATATTTGTTGTATTTAGTTATTGTTAATTTGGGATTTTCATTTCCATTTTTATGTACAGTTTATTATTATATATTTGTTTAGAACATTTTATTTACAGTTGTTTATTATACAATTGTTCAGAAAATTTATTCCATATACAGTTAATTATTATATACTTGATGGACCATTTTTTTGTATATACAATTATTTATTTATACTTGTTTAGAACATTTCTTTCCATATACAGTTATTTATTATATACTTGTTTAGAACACTTTGTGATTGTAGCTTTTTTGTTGTTTATTTCTATTTATATATATATATATAACATTTTTTTGCCATTCTTTAGAATATATTATTGAGACAAACAATATTCCATTATCAAAAGGAAAGATCATTACTCAAATTCCAAAGCTAAGTAAAGAATATCGATTGTCTTTTGATTTTAAACCCATGGCGTTTGGGATTGGTCTGCACAATATTATTTATATTACTGCTGGAGCTCCTTTATTTAAATATGGTAGTGAAACTTTAAGCATCTGGCTGGATGAAGAAGGGAAAGGAAGAATTAAAATTGTGGCTTTAATTAATCAAAAAAAAAGTTTTTATTATCATCCTATTCAATTAATTAGGTGGTCAAATATTGAAGTTTGTCAAAGTTTTAATAACTTTTTTTATGTATTCACAATAAGAATAAATGGATTTGTTGTCTTTTCTATGCCTAACAATCAAACTATGGATTTCATTGATGTTAAAGTTTATGCTTCAAATCCATGGGACAAAGTTCAGAATGGCACAATAAAAAATTTCTTTATTGTCAATGACATTCCAAGTAATTATTTTTGTTAAATTATTTTTCTAAAATTAGAAAGTTTTTAGTCTATTTTAAAGTTTAAATCATTTAAGAATTCATAGCTTAAAACTTTTGGAATTATAATATTTAAATTGATATTCAGTTTTTGGTATTTGAAAATAATATTTTGTATCCATTTTAATTATGTATTTAGTAAAAACTATGAAATGATAATTACAGTTTTTTTTTATTACCTTACTTTCATTATAAAAATCAACTTATTTCTGTTTTGTTAGATCTTGAAGTTGAATCTTCAGATGTTCTTGTTAAAGGTAATTTTATTAACATTTTATTAGATAGTGAAATATAGATGAATAAAAACAACTGATTAGCGGGACTTTAAGTTTCATGTCCGAAGGCAATCATAAGTCGCCAATACAAACAAAAAACGTAAACAAACAGTTACAAAAACGTAAATCTACTGAAGAATGATTTTTGACGTTATAAAAAATCAAAGTAAAAAATAAAACCGAAAATAACATACAAAATGGCGTTATAATATACTAATCTCCTGTGTTAAAAAAAAGACTATAACAATTTTTTTTAATGTTGACACTAATATTCAACTTTGATTTTTTTTTATCAGTAGGTTTTTGATCAAGGTGGCATATTTTTGTTGCTAGATTATAATGTTTGCAAGGACAATTTTCCATTCCCTAATAGGCCTTACTTATTGGTTTTTTAAGCTCCATGTTTCAATAAAAATGATTATGATGACTGGAACTTACGGATGCTTAGTAGACAACATTGTTCAAAAAACATTGGTTATTCAAGCGGAAAAATTTTTTATCAATGCAGTTACGTTGGTTGGTTCTTAAATTTTTTTGTTCAGAAATTTGAAATAACGGAAATTTATGATAGGCTCTAAGTTAGACATGCAACTCTAGCAGATCCTAATTAAATTTCTGTTGAATATTTTATGTAACTTGTGACCGGCTGGAAAATACAAATCAAATAGGTCAAGATAACTGTTTCCTATTTTCTTTTTGACGTTTAAGCTGAACGAAGGGTTATACCAAATGATATTAAATTTATGATGTTTTTTTTTTGTTTTGATTTAATATTAATTGTGGTTGGTAAGTAAGCCTTGTCTTGTATTATATTTCTTGTAGAAAAACTTCATACGACATTGTGTCGAATATTTGGAGGTCAAATATTCGGAGACATTTAGTAGATTTTGTGAAAAACAGGTTCCGACCTACATGAGTGAAGTTTATATCTAACTACGTCGCTGGTGTATTTGGTTTATTTGCCTGTTGGTTGTGTTATTTGTTGGTTTCTATTTCAATTTTTGTAATTTTTAAAGTGTATTTATTTTACAAAATAGTTATAGTTGATGCACACATGTGTATTATGTTATAGTAAATACACACATTATAAGTTCATTGGAATACTTAAAGTATGTATTCTTACATTCGTTACTTGTTGGTTTTTACGTCAACAAATTTTTTTACTTATAACATGTATATTTTAAAAATATTTCTGTTCTTTTGCAAAGCGCTTTAGAAAATGGCATCGTTAATAAAAAATCACTAATATGGAAATAAGATGAATTTTGCAGTCAAGTCAAAAAACTAGCAGTTCGTTCGTTCAAACCAATAAACTTGCAGTTTGTTCAGCAGCATGATCTCACATGATGGAAAAGGTTGGAAAGCAAGAAAGAAAAAATATTTTTAAATAGCTTAATAACTGAGGAAACCTCTTTTACTCGTTTTAGTCATTAACTAGCACTTTATATTTTTTACAACTACAGCTCAATTAAAAACCTTCAAAACGATTATTCTGAACAATACGCTGCGATAACTGGAGCTTCTTCGGGATATGAAAGCGAAGTTGAGGGCACTCTCATTTCTAATAAACAATTCTAATAAACGGCATTACTTGAAACATCTAAAAATAATCAGTTAACTCTGAAGGAGGTATTTGAAAGGAACTTACTTTGGGATGATAATGACCCGAAATCAAAAGAATATTAGAATGTAATTAGAGAAATAATTGCATTCGACTACTAAATATCACTTGTTAAACGATTCGACTTCAACAAGTTTATAATAAAGGTAGTACCAAAATACAAAGCACCTTGACGCTTTTACATGACTGAAAAACTTATCCTAAATATACATTATAGATATTGCTCTAAAATCGAAGCGAGTATTACAAGAGTATCACAAGCAAAAGCAATATCGGTAATATCTAACATTTATTTGAGTAACTACAACAACCAGTGTTTTGGTATCAATACTAAAAAAGAACTCAATACTATTGCAGAAAGTAGATCATTTCATCAAGATATATTTTCTTATTTGTGACAGTAGAGCCAATATGATAAAAGGTGCAAGAGATTTATTTTCTAAGTGATTTGTTCATTTATTACAACAAACTGCGTTATTTTTAACTGCAAATTTAGCATCGTTAAATTCGCATATAGAAACAACGCATAAGATGTCTGCTGCATAACGGACTGTTGCTCATTTTAACGTCATTGTACGTCATTGCTAGCTCACCAACTAATACAAGACGTAAGTACACGCTGAAACTCAAGATATTATTTAATGGAGCGGTTACTAGAACAAAATATCTATCGAACTCGTCATAACTGATCACAATTCATTCAAAAATTTAACACTTGCTTAATTGGAGTTATTGGAGCAATGCCTCAAACCGTTAAATGAGGTTACAAATCTCACCAACTTGGGTGTTTCCAATTTTGACCCACGCTACAAAACTATTTTCTTGGGATTATTTATAAAAATATTAAAACACTAATTCTTCTGAATCGCATGACTCAAGCGAAAACAATAATGTCATCATATTCTTGATAAACGAATACGTCTACCATTTTACTCGCATCTATACAATCACTTAAGCTTGTTACTCAAATGTATCTTACAATTACACTAATTTTAATTCTTAATTAATTAATAAATAAGCGAAAATAATAAGAATATAACTGCACTAGGTACATCCAAATACACTTCATGTTTGTCCAAAAGATTGTGTAGAAGAATTTAGAAAGCCAAATGATGGTGTCTCTGTGTGTGAAGCCAAAATTATCAAATTTTCGTGCGTTAACGTTTACGCTACCACCGACAAATGTGCTAAACCACTGTCAAAGGATGGTTAACTTCCAGAAGTATCATACATGCAATATTTGCAGATATATCTATTCACACACATCTTTTTTTTTATATATATATAATATTATATATCTATATATATTATATACATATATATATATATATATATATATATATATATATATATATATATATATATATATATATATATATATATATATATATATATATACATATATATATATATATATATATATATATATATATATATTTATATATATATATATATATATATATATATATATATATATATATATATATATATATTATTACAAAATTAAATTTAATATTAAAAGTATATACCATTCGTAAGACAAATTATTTACAAACATTACGAACTAAAATAAAAATTAAAGTAAACAAGTAAATAATAATAGACTACTGTACAAATAATGTGAGTACAACTTTCAACAAAATTCAAATAATGGTGTTTAAATATAGTTTCTCACATAAACTTTAAATCAATATTGTATGAAAGTAAAACATAAATGCCTGATGACAAAACTGGGTATAATTTAAAGTATATTAATATATTTTCAATTGAGAAAATTATTTTTTTTAATTTTCTTTTAAACATATAGTAATTCCATTTATGAGAAAAATCAAAATTCTTTAAAATTATTAGGTTCCATAACAAAGCTCCACGAAAAGAAATGCAAAGTTTACCAAAGTTTGTTTGAGGTTTTGGTTGTTTAATAAAAATATCATTTCTTAAAGAATATTTATTTTTTTCTTTTAAAGAATATAAATCAAAAAAGGAAGCTGGAGATGAGTTGGTTTCACATTTAAACATAAAACAAAGAACATTATAAACATTTACTGGATATATATTTAAAAACATTCATGTTAGATAAAAGTGGCCTTGACTGAGTAAAACGACTTTTGAAATAAATAACACGTGCAATATGCTTTTGCTGACAATAAAGTGGCTTTAAGTTACTTTTATGGATAGTACCCCATGTGATATTAGCATAATTAATATAAAAGAGTAATATAGTTGTGTTAATGAATGTTTGTTTAAAACGCTTCTTGCTTTACATAAAACTCCAATGCTTTTTGCAATTTTGTTGCCTAAATGTCCGATGTGATTCTTCCATGATTAATTCTCATCTACAATGATACCTAGAAAACTTGTAAAAGTTACTCTTTCTATTTGAATATTATCAATATGAAGAAGAGGCATATTACTTAGAAGTAATTTTTTTTTAAATCGTTGATGAAAGAAAATCCATTTAGTTTTATCAATGTTGAGTGAAAGTTTATTTAAGTTCATATCATAATAAAGTTTATTGATGTTATTATTAGATAGGAAAAGGTTTCATCAGCAAACATTATAGTTATTTTAGGACTTCATGGAGATCATTAACATAATTTAGAAATAAAGGCCCTAGTATAGATCGCTGTGGAACTCCACAAGTTAAATTTGGATAACTTTGTGAAGAAGATCCGTCGACATAGACAAGTTGTTTACGATGTTTTAAATAGCTTTTTAGTAGTTTTAAAACTTTACCATATATTTTATTTACATTCATCATATATTTCACAGAAAGTTTGAAAGAATGTATCGTATACTTCATAAGCTTCAAATGAACTTTTTATGTGATTCCAATTTAATAAAGATAATTGATCCTTAAACGATGCTAGATTTGCATTGGTGAAAAAGCGTTTGATAATGACTTTTTTATGTTGTTGTATTAATTTGTTGTCAATATTAATAGAGAAAAAAATAGGGAAGTGGTCGGAAACGTCACTTTTTATTATACCTTTTTCAAGAATTTCATTAAAGAAATCGGTTATTATAATTTTGTCAATTAAGGTAGCTGAAGTTGAGGTTACTCTAGTAGGTTTGTTAATTAGCGGAATCGCTCCATGTTCGAATAAGTTATCGTAAAACTTTTTAATGTTGCTATTAATGTGATATTCAAAACAATTTAAATTCACGTCACCAATTAGATAATTTAGTTTCTTTTCCTTAAAGCTATTTTTTTAATATAGTTACACAAAAATGCATTAAAACTTTCACTATGGTCATCAAAACTTTCACTATGGCGATAACAGCAGCTTATAAGTATGTTTTTAGAATTATTGGTTAAAAGTTTAATTGTTAAAATTTCTTTATTGTCATCAGAAATACT